CAGGCCCCGCCCCCTTCCGACCCCGCCCCCCACCCGCCTCAGGGACCCGGCCCGCAGAGTATCTGGGTGCGGGGTGCGCCGCGGGGGAGGGGCGGTGCCGGGTGCCGAGCTCTGGGAGGGCGCACCCTGGTGCCCAGGTGCTCGGGTTGTGGCAGAGAGGACTACGGGCGGGGCGGCAGGGACCTAGCAGGAGGCGAGCCGAGGACCAGGACCTGAGGGCCGGGAGGGTGGGCGCGGCTGGAGGGGAAGACACCGCTGGCGTGGGCAGGAGGGGCCGCGAATTGCTGCAGCCCGTGGGAGGCAGCGCCCTGCAGGCCACACTCGCGGGGTCTGCTGTGGAGGTGGCCTCGGCGCCGCGCACCGCTCCGTGCAGGTGCGGGCGGGGCGCTGTGCCTCCCGGGCGAGGGCGCTGTCAGTCCCGATTGCCTGCCCCAGCGCCCCGCCCGCCCGCCCTCGTCACTGTCGCCGTCCTGCGTGGGCCTCGCACGTCGCTCCCTCCTCCTAGGAAGATGACAAGCCCATCCCCTCGCCACTACCCGCGCAGGTTTTCGTGCGTGCGCGGTCTTCCCCAGCTCCTCCACGCACAGCCTAACCCAGCGCTGCACACGGGAGGATCTAGGGCCAGCAAGGAGGCCCGGCCAGCACAGCCTCCTCTGGCCCAGGGACAGACAGGAATTTGGCTTAGCAGGGACCTGGCTTCCTCAGGGCTGCATCGGGGAGTGGTCCCCCCCAAGACACTCCCTTTACTGAGGATTAAACCTTGAACCCAGGGCGTTGCTCTGAGCTACCCCCAACCCATTTTTTATTTCAAGACAATCTTTCTAAATTGCCAGGCAGGGCTTGAACGTGCGCTCCTCCTGCCTCAGCCTCAGAACCCAGGGATGAGAGGTGTACACCCCGCGCCCGCCCATCACTCAGGTACAGTGTGTGGTCATTGAGCGCCTACCACACACAGGCGCAGCCCTTGACAGGAGTGGAGGGGCAAACAGAAGCAATGCCTCACCCTGTGCCCGCTGCAGGCCCCCTGGGGAGGAACTGGCCCACCTCACCCTGTGGGCCACACAGTCCAGGGGCAGGGCACTGGGCCACTCCCCTGCCTCACCTTCCAGCCCCCTCTGAAGCTGCAGCAGCTTTTCAGCCTCCCACCATGACGTCCGGCCTCATCGTACTGAAGGACTGAGGCCAGTGAGAATGACTTTCCGGTTCCTGGCGACCAGTCCTGGGCACACTGACCTCCTGTCCTCATGCACCCTGGACAGTACTCCCACCCCGCAGCCATCGTCCTGCCTCTATTGCTCAGTTGTGATAGGAGTGATGAGGCCTGCTCCTTCTCGTGGCCCTGCTAGCTATGCCGCCCTGTGCCTCAGTTTCCCCCATAAGTGCAGCAATACTGGGAAGTGCAACTGAACCGGCATCGTCCCTGCCAATCCCGGTGTGGTATACCTGAGGGCAGGGCCTCAGGGCTAGGTGAAGCCCGGCTGGTGTCAGTAGAAATCCTGCACGGTCCCTACTGGAGTCCTTGGGCCCCACCACACCGGAGGAGCAACCTCCACAGGGAGCCAAATGGCCGCACCCTGACTTTGGGCTTCAGCCTCCAGGGCTGCAGAAGAAGTAGATACATGGGAGAGCACACTCGGCATGGCCACCCGGCCAGGAAGGAGAGCACACCCGCCCCCCGCCCTCCTTCACAATCTGGAAAGGCCATCACCTCCAGCGCTGTGAGAAACACGCATGTTATTATGCCACCCAGGAAACAACACTGTTCTAGCAGTCATAAGTGACTAAAACATCCCCCCAAAGATAAGCCCACCTTGACTTCCAAGTATGGTTTTGCTAGTTTTGGGAATTTTCTACAAGTAGATTCACAGGTATAAATTTTTTCCCATTTTTTCTCAACATATTTTTGAGCTTCATGTTATTACAAATGGTAACTGATTTGTTCTTTTTCACAGCTGTGTAGTATTCCTTTGGAAGCACATGGCCATTTGCCCAAGGCTGGCATCTTCTACAAAGACTGAAGATTGTAGGCTGCAAGGGTAAGCGCTCCCACAGCTTAGCATTGCTGTGCACACAGTGCCAGGATGGCCCAGCTCAGCACCCCTGTGCGTGCAGTGCCAGGACAACCACGTGACAGGCCTGTGCTTGTCCAGCTGCACTGTGGACGCCGGGCCATTTCCTGGGAACAGAAAGCCTCTCTCGCCGTGCAGCCTCCTTCACTGAGGCGCCACCACAACCTGTGGGCTCACTTGCTCACGAAGCCTCATCTCTCCGCACACTGGACTGGCCTGCTTCCCTGCCAGGCTCCTGTGCCTTGCAGGTCCCAGGAAGCCCCGCAGCGCCTCCCCCAAGGGCCCTTTCCCATCTGCTCAGATCTCCGAGCTCACGGCTCTGCATGCTGCGTTCAGGGCCTTTCCAGATGGGCATGGTGGCTCACCACAAAAGCAGCACCCTGGGAGGCTGAGGCAGGAGGATCACAAGTTCAAGGCCAGTCCGGGAAACCTAGCAAGGCCCTGTCTCAGAATAAAAAAGGGTGTAAGGACTGAGCTCAGCACGAAGGTTCAGTCCCCGCTGCACGAGCAAGCCTGCCCACCACGCTGCTGGCCACCGTCTCCTCCCTCCTGGCCCTGCCAGCGGGGCCATTCGCTCCCCTAAACTTTGAAAGCACCCTGCGTGCCTGCCCACAGATGGACGCACAAAGAGGAGGCTGTGTTTGCGCAGCGTGGAGCAGAGCTGGCCGTGAGGAAGGAGGGGGGAGCCGGGGGCAGGAGCCCACGAGACCAGGCCTAAGAGAGCTGAAGCAGACAGAACCCGACACCACAAGGTAATGGGTCATGGGAAGTAGAGGGGAAAGCTTTTTGAGATAGCAAAGAAACCAAGAGCTCAGGGGAGGGGCAGGGAGGAACTGGGACCCAAAGCCATGAAGAAAATGAAGATGTGTTAGGCAGAGGCCCCAAGCGAGCCCCATAGGCTACACATGTGTGCTGATAAAAGTTACAATTATGAGACTGGGCGTGGTGGCACGTGCCTGTAATCCCAGCTCTTGGGAGGCTGGGATCACTATAAGCGGATCACTACGAGTCCAATCTAGTAGTGAGACCCTGAACACCCTGTAGACCCTTCCCTAAAATACAAAAAAAAAGTTAAAATTAGTTCTAGTGTGGAGACAAATACCTGTCATCCCAGTACTTGGGAGGCTGAGGCAGGACGATCTCTGTGGATCTCAGGCCAGCCTGAACTACACAGTGTGCCCTTTCTCAAAATAAAATAAAATAATAAATAAACAATAGTGAAAATGTAGCGTGACCATCTGCGCAGACCTTGAATGACTGAAGAACAGGGGCCCTATCACAGTGCTGGTGACGACAGTGAGAACTCTGCAAGCATCACTGTGCCGTGTGAGCTGTTCGTTACAGCAGCAAGCGGTCCTCATCCTGACTTCTACATTTCGCCCGACAGGTGGGCGCTCAGCCTGTCCCAGAACAGGCGGAGCCCTGCAGCCTGAAGGGTCAGGATCGTGGTGCAGCAGCCGCATCTGCAGCTTACCTGCACCTCGCCATGTGCCCAGCCAGCTGGGGCAGCCCTGGCCTTGGACATTCTAGCCCGAGACCCAGGGATGGCCATGTTTGTTCCCTGCCAGCCATGTGCAGAGGTAGAGGACAGCTGGCCAGCGAGCTCACGCTGAGGATGTCACTGGCCCATGTGTCACAGAACCCCACACCTGACTTCCTCAGGATAGCAAGGGACACCAGGGCACATGGCCACATGGCCTGGGTGAGCTCAGGACAGTCTTCCTCCAGGACTGCAATGCTTTGCACAATAAGGCAAGTAGCCATGGTCCTCAGTTATGGAATGTCCTGCGTCCCAAATCACCAGCTCACCTGCGGCAGCCCGACACTTGCTGGAGTCCATACAGACCTGGGCTAGAACTCCTGCAGCTACTCTGCAGCGTCCCCACTGGCACTGTGTAAGGATCCGTGGGTCTCAGTGCAATCCGTCGTACCCGGGGAGAAATGGCGGCAGGAATGAGAGAAAGTTAGACAAGAGTCGTGTGAGGTGGTGGCCCGTCTGCCTGGTTGGCGAGACGACCCCCTGAGCAACAACATGGACGTTTATTTATACCTTTGCAAAGTTAGTGATACATGACACAAGGTTGCCTAGTGACTAGCAGCTGACACTAACCAGTCAGGATGCTCATCCCAGGGCTGAGGGAGCTCATTTGCCCGCTTTCCCGCCGTGACCGATTTTCCAGCTTCCACGGCTCCGGCTGCACGGTGCAGGTCCCGGGCTGGGCTTCTGGCCCGCCTGGCACAGCCTCGTAGCGGCAGCTGAAACTTGCGCCATGGCAGCTACTTCCTCCAGCAAAACCACAGCCCCAGGGCCGCCGACACAGCCCGGCCAGGTCACCGAGCCTCTGGGTGGGCGTGTCCTTGATGGCTGCGGCCAGCCAGCGCCTTCCCTGCGGAACGTGTCACTAGCCTTCCCAGGGATAGTCTCATTTATTGTGTTTCACCCGTGTTAAGAGCGCAGTCCAGTGACGCGAGGCCTGCACCGCCGCAAGCCCCAGCCTTTGCAATACTGACTAAAGGAATCCGCCTCGGCGCTCTGACTGATGTGCTTCAGCTCTTCCCATCCACAGAGTAAAACAAGGGCGCGAGGGAGGGAGAACAGCCCAGGCCTACTCCTCCTTCCTCTTTCCTGAGGCAGATGCTGTCTCTGCGGTGCTTTCTCCCATCCATGTTCTTTCCTTTAACACATACATACATTATTTCATTTTGTGTAATT